GTAAAAGAAAGCGAGGAAAAGGAAGTAAGCTCCGGAATTGGCAGGGTTGGGGAACAGCTGATGATAATTCTTTTGCTGAAGAGTCCAGCGGAAAAGCTATTCAAATGGTAAGCAGCCAATTGAAATTTAAATACGTTACATCCACTAGAAAACTGTGACTCCTATTAGATTAACTCTGAATTTTGAATTCTTGGGGCTTAAAATTTTATTCTACAACCACAGTAAAGTGGACTGTTCCCTTATAATATTTTTAAGTTAAGATCTAAAGTCTTTGAAAGTTAATTTGATTTTTAATTAATAAGGTATTTCTCCCGCCTTCTTAGCATGCCTTCGTAGTGTAGTGGTCAGCACGCTCGGCGCGTATTCTAGAGGCCCGTGGTTCGAGTTCCGGTGAAGACGTTGCTCATTTTTCATCACTCCTGCTTTAAAAACAACCTAATTACTCTAGTATTCAATATTTCTGTCTTGCATGATAAAAAGCATGCCTTATTTTAGCCTCCCTTAAAAGCACATTGCTAATGTAAAATCTTACTAATCTTCTGTTGAAATCAATGATATTATCTGAATTTTCATTTCAAGCAGAAATTTGAGGACATGAGTATGGGCATGTTTCATGACACAATGTTGCCAGCAGCAGAGTTGTAACTAAATTCTTTAAATAAAATTAACTGATGCATTTATTCCATAGATAAGCAAGCTTTCAGATTTTTAATCTTAAGATCTGTGATATTTATGCTAGAATGAAACAGTACAATGTCTAATAATACTTCTTATTTAAGATCTTTTAGTTATTATAATCTTATTGTTCCAGTGTTTCTATTATTCAGTAAAGGGGAGATTGTACTTTAAATGAAACTTTCTTCAGTACTGATTATTAGAATTCACAAACAAATGAAGAAACTACATTTGGTTTACAAATTTTGGGAAGTAATAATAATAATATCGAAAGAAACTAAAATGATAAAAAGCTTGCTGCACGGACACACTGTTTGCAGTTAAGTTTTCTTCCTTTCCTTTTTCTGTAACTTATTGCGTTGTAAGAATGTTAGAGGTAACTATGGAGCTTTACAGGAAGGATGATTTCTATAACTTGGAACCTTTTGTTAAGGTAACAGACGAGTAAAAAGGAAATTTTAAAAGTATCATTGTAAAAGTAGTATCAGGAGAAAACATTTGTAGTATGCTGCAGCAATGTCGTAATATGCAACAAAAATCAAGCAGTCCAACAATTAGTAATTTAACGAAATTTATCTTTATACGAAAAAACTCTTACTAAAATGGAAGTTGTTTTGGCCCCCAGAAAATACTGTAGGATTTCATTATTTTTATTAATAGTTATTTTAATTTGTGATCCTTTCTGTTTCCTCTTATTTCTGTCGCGCTTCTTCATCCGGACGTAAATGAATTAGAGTAAACGAGAGTAATTAAACTGTTGCAGTGAAAAAATTAACAAAGCGTTATTTCGCTATTGTGAGCGCGCGTTGCTAATTCTTCCAACTGTTAACCTTAAATATCGGCTACGTAATCTTGCCGCCGAATTACAATTCTGCCGGTGTAGGTTTTAAGTCAATCAGTTAGCTTTAAACTGAATTGCCTTGTACTACTTCTACCTTTCATTCAGTATTACGTGTTTGTAAGCATGTAAGTCCATGCCGTCTGAAAATTTTATTGTGTTAAATAAAAGAGTCTTTTACACCGTTTCTCTGGCTGTGTTCAGCTACAACCTGTGAGAGAATTCACAAGGATTAACACTTAAGTAGCCTAGTTGCAATTTATGATTGCTAAAAGACTAGATCCTGTAATATATTTTAGGCAATTTTTCTGTAATTATTAATTTAATAAATGAGGCAACGTGGCATCAAATGAGTACTTTAAAATCAATGTTTACCGCAGCTTATATTTATTTAGAATGGATTGATAAACTTTCTATGTTTAAACTTACTATTAAGCTGAAAATTGTTATGAATACATATAAACTTCTTAATAATATGCTTTTTTCAAATATTTATTAACGATCTTGACTCTACGATAAGTCTAGAAAGACGAGAGTTTTCGAAAACTCATTTCATTCAGTGCACAGCAAGAAGAATCATAAGTTCATGCTGCACTAAAAACGGCAATTTTTGTGACTTTCCTTCAAAATATCCCTGCAACAAAATACCTATTGAGAATTCATAAAGCTGTCTGTATATTATTTAACCGGATACGTAGCTACTTAACTGGATACGCTACTGGAGCTATCTGAATATTAGACAACAACTGCAATAATTAGTCCCTAGACTACTGTGTAAGTTATTTATTATTGAAAGCTGAAAGATGATGAATAATACTCTTGTAGTCCCATGAATGTAAGATTCCTTATCCTATGCAGAAATTAATATAAATAGCTAATATCAATAATTAATCCTATCAGACTATTACTGTAGAACTGCGAACGTCATGATGCAAGCTGTCACATTCATCTAAATTCAAGTGCATTGTCTAGTGGTGCGTGCGGTTAAAATGACCAGCAACGAAAGTGGAAAGGCCGTGTGTCGAATCCTGAAGATGGCACAATTTATTTTTATCTTTTCTAGTTTCGAGATAAATAACAAACATAATACCTGTACAGTAGTGGCGAAAGGGCGATTAGGGAAACAGGCGATTCTCATGCCTGTTTCCCGAATCGCCCTTTAAGTGGGGTAGAATATAAGGAATTATCACCTGTGAGGCGTCTGTTGGTGTAACTGGTAGCAAGACTGGCTGGCAGTCAGAAGATCCATGGTCTCATCGCGGCTAGGACATTATTGATTTTTCACATTTTCTACTTCGATAAACTTAATACAAGATAACTTCCTCTACAGAAGATCAAAATAGCTTAGGACTACGGATGATCGTCTTAGAAAAACTTGCTTTTATTTAAAATTTTGAAAATTGATTTGAATGAAAAGGAAACGTGCTTCTTAAAGTTATCTAAATTGTCATGGTTACCTAACTAAAGAGTCAATCATTCATTCATTGGACTGTTCATAAAATATCGCTGAGAGTCATAAACTGACATATACCTAGAATCGATATGCCAAAGAATCCACAACGCATACACGATACCGTGCACACACGACATTGTGCAGGATCGATACTGTATAGAATTGACACGGAGTAGAATCGACAAAGGCATACAACCAACGTTATTTACTTTACAGTACTATAGTCGACGCGATATTAAAGAAGTTTTGATAACGATGCAATAACAAGTTAGAGAATGAATGCGCGTTTAATCCGTTTATAGAATTGTCGCTGGCATATTGAGCCGACATTGGCATATCGTCGATACAACGTACAATCGACATAAGAATAGAACTGACACTGCGCAAGTTCGACACTGGCATAGAATTTGGACACTAATGTAGGATCCACACAGAATTAAACACAGAATTAGTCTACGGCGGCTTAGGAGTGAACTGGGGTTTTGAGTGTCAATCGTGTACTGGCAGGGAAGCTGCATTCAGTGACGATCGTGTTACACACGATTGACATTCCCTAAATTTTGTCATTCTTTCAGCTAAAACATTCCCCAAATATTATCATTTTTTCTCCTGAAAACTTTCGTTTAAATTAAATTTAAATAAAAAAGAACAATTGTCCTTTTTTTTTTTTTTTTTTTTTTTGAAATATTATGCAGAATTTCTTATACATTTTGTTATTATGAAGGGAACGAGATAATATTTAAACTCTACATCTTTTTTTGTTTTGTTTATTATTATATACAAATTGTTAATATATTTGCACATCTCAATATTGTATAAAATGCTGCACCTTAATATTACGTATTGTTTTATAAAGCAATCCTTAATCGTTGAAATTTTTTTATAGTTTTGATTACAAAGTATCTTTTAAATTAAAAGATGCTCGATTTTACATTAGAAAGAGACCTTTCTTTTGAATTTTAAAAGTTTAATTTATTTTTATTTTTCTTTGCTTTTAAATATAATAAATGAATCTCATCCTGGATTATTAGATTAACAAAAGAAGTACCAAGACAATATTTATATTACTTCAGACAGCATGCTTACATACGGCAAATTTTTCCTACTTATTAAATCGCTCCCGAAATCGAGAGATATTTATTCAAAATCTAAGTTTTCTTTTGCCTAATTTTAAACTGAAATATATAAATTTAGGCTAAATTCAATCTTTGATTAATATTGGTTTTATTGAAACGATTTTTCTATACCAGCTTTCTTTCTTTGGGCTTTTCTAGAAAATCATGATCAATTTAAGGTCGAGTTTTAGATAATTTTATATAAAAAAACAATAGCTGTAGGTTTCAGTCAGATAACAGTTTTTAATCAAGTAGTATTTTAGCTCGCTTGATATCTACAAAAAGGCGACGAAAGGTCTCAAAAGGGCTACGTAATTGTGAAAAGAAGAAGAAAGAGTTTAGCTACGTATTGGGGAAGTAAAAATTTTGTCGATAAACATAGTACGTGTAATATCTATTCGTCGTCTTTTATCTTATTTTACGAGTCTTTTTTTTTAAACAACTTACCGATTTTGATTTTATATCATAAAATTCTGTTTCCATCTGTAAAGTTGTGAAAGCCCGCGTTCTCTTTATGATTCAGTATCCCCATTTTATGCCCCTGTTTCCGCCTAGGGGGAAGATAAGGACGACGACAAATTTTTCCGAGTCCTCCGCCTCCTCGTACCCTCTCCCCGACCCTCTTGCAGAGTAGGCAACACCTGTCGGGGTCATTACAACACAGGGGACGCACCGCTTAATACGGATATGTCAAAAGATGAAGCTCAGAAGTAATATACGGATGAAAGGGGGGAGAGTAAGATCGCTTATAATAACAGCAAACAAAATGTGGAACTCCACACTAGCCAATGAGCGGCCAGCGAGCCGAGGCACGCGATTGCTGCTGTAACGGTCCATCGTCTGCCACACACTATTATCGATCGTCCACGCTCGGGGAGCTTCAGACGATACCCAGGCTGCCATTGGGTTGACACGGGTTTGCAGTGTTTCCAGAAACGGGTTGCACATTGGGTGGCTTACGGTGTGGTTTTTGAACCATACTCACTATTCCTTCCCCTTTTTAAAGTTATATTTATTTATTAATGTAGAAGCCCATATGCTAGAAGCTATGTTGCAATTTGCCGAATGAGAGTGGAATGAGGAAAAGGAAATGTTTCTTCCTGAAAATGGGAGAAACCGGAATTGAGGTGAGTGGTATATTTTTAATCAGATGTGTGTGTGTGTGTGGGGGGGGTAATATCCAGGAAGTTGAATTTTTATTTTTTGCGGTAACTTTTTCTATCAGTAATGTTTTTATTCTGTTCTGTTACGGAGAAGGGGGAATGGTGCCGCGAATGGGAAAAAAAAAAAAAAAAAAAAAAAGTGCAGTTTGCATCTGATTATATTTTGTGCATGTAATTCTGTATTTTGCTTTAGCAGATGCGTTTACATTTCACTTTTGTGCTGCTGCTTTGATCAGAACGTATAAAAATATTTAAGGAAACATTTAATTCACTTTTTTGTTTTGTAATGATATTTTGCAATTCGTACTTGAAGACTAAAACATAAAAATTTCTTTAATTTATTCTTTAATCAGTGTATAATGAAGACAAAATTAAAAGCATAGTCTCCATCTTTTTTGTTAATATATGCATTTGTATTATGCATGTATTCTATCTCATGCAACGCGTTACACTATTTTTTTTTTTTTAAATTTTTTTATTTATTATTTTTTTCTGACACAGGGTTTTCTATTTAACATCGAAAAACAAGTAAACAACTTTTGCTGGTAAGTAGTTTTTAAGTAAGCTTAAAAGTTCTATAAAAGACCTGTTTCATAGCAATTTAGTAATTTCTCTTTCGTAGTAAATATAAATTATCTGGATTATTGAATAGCATTTCCTGTAACTACATAGAGTATGACCCAATAATTTTTCCACAAATAGTTATTGATTTTTGTTCTCTCTATATAGCTTTTTACAACTATGAATAGTTGTTCTTATAGATCTTTTTTATTAGCAGAACAGGAATTTTCCTTTCACTCGTATTCGTAGAAGTTCAGATTTTCTTCAGATATTTTTTTAAGGATGTACAATGGAATATTAATAAAGATTTTGACAAAACGGAGAAAATACTGCATTCGAATTAACAAAAATTCAAAAAAGTGACTGTCATCATATATGAAAATGACACTTTATTCTACAATAGTGGGAAGTTATGGGTTACTATTAAAAAGGTCAAACTACAAAATGTGAATTTTGTTCTCATTGTTTGAATGTTAATTTCTACTGCATTCTGCAGCTCTTTCTTAACTACCAGGAAAATAAGAAAATATGGAAATTCCAAGTCAATTCTTCATTACGTTATTTGCTTATGAAAATTTTTAATCGATAATGAAATGCGATTCATATTCAGCATTTATCTTAAGCACTATAAAAATTATGGTTCGTATTTATTTTCGTTGCTTTTTTTGAGCCCTTTTTCTTTGCTTTACTTATTTTGCAGCATATCTTGAGATATTAATGGGAAGAATGAGTTTGTTACTGCTTTCATTTTGATAAGTTCATGAAAAAATTAGGTGATTCTATACATAACTGAGACATAAATTGAAGTTTCACTTACAGACCCATTATAGACATTTATAAAATAACTGCATATATAGCCACAGGCTGTCTTGCTAAATGAAAGAAAAGAAAGAGTGAGAAGACAAAATTTGCCGAAAAATATCAATTTCGTTTATGCTTAGTACATATCTTTCATTCATATAAGAAGTTCCAATAGTATTTATGGAATTTAAACTCGATCTTAAAAATTATTGGATAGGATTTCGTATTTATATTTTTAATCTTATATATTTCCGATCATGGTAAAAGTGTAAGTAATTAATCAAGGAATGATCTGTAAAGGACGGTACCGAACAGAAAAGGGATTATGATTAAATGCAAAGAAATTCAAACAGAAAGAGTCGAGGAAATGTCTACGTAATGTAAATTCTTAGAAATTAAATCAGTTATACCATTGGGAAGTAATGGAATAAAGAGCTGTAAAAAATTAAATCCGAGAGTAACTATAGTTAGTTCTCAAAGATGTGGTTTTATTCGATTTTTTTCAGTCAAAATATGTAAGATTAATTTTTGAGAGGAGGGAAACCTTTTTGAATAAAATTATTGTTATAGCGCAGAAGGAAAAAAAAATCAAGTAATTTGATCAGTTACGTTGTAAACATTTAGTAGCTTTAATACGTCTGAGGTTCACATTTAAGAAAGTTTTAGATTCTGAGTTAATACTCAGATATTTAGAAGGTTACGTGGTCAGAGCAGACGTGGTCGTAGCGGACAGTGGCTACAGCGAATATGTGAGGGCAGCTGGGTGGGCAGAGCGGACATTCTTGCACCTCTCCTTGCATGTTGTCTCCTTTGCCAATGCTTTATTTTTCTTCTTTTTTCCCTTTCTAGTAATTTCGTTCTTCTGATGAGGAGGGACCTTTAGTTGCCCTCGAAATCGATTGAGTGTTTTAACATACGTATGCTAAATACAAGGTTGTTAATTGCAATTTTAATTCTTGCACTTATTGTGTTATTTATCTAATCAGTCACATATCATCTATTCTGTAGTTTCGAGCTTTGAACCTGCTGTAGACATAAGCCGATACTTTTAAGAGATAAGCTTTTTCTCAATTTCTTAGTAGATGTTTGATCCTTATGAAGTGTATATGTCATTTTATAGCGTCGAAAAAATCTGCTATGGAACCCATAGCCATTTCAACAAAATTACTCTCTACACAAAACGGAAAAGAATGTTTAGTTGTAGATGATTACCCACACCGTTTACACCGAAAAAATAAATTAGGAATGAGTTGGGTATGTGTAAAAGAAGAGACACGCCATTATAAAGGAAATATAAAGACAAATTTTCAGTACGAAGTACTGAAGAAAATTGAGCATTCCTTCGTGTCCAACATTGCTGAGATTGAATTTAAAAGGAAGTTAGAGACTTGCAGAAAAAGAGTCTGAGAACAAACATCAGTTCCTGTTCCCCATATATTTCAAGAAGAACTTTCATAATTGTAACAGAAAGGTTATGATTTCGCTACTAAAATACAGAAATATTCCAGTGCCAAGAGTGTTTTATGTAAGGACAGGAGAAAGGCTTTGGGAGCTACCTAAAATCCTCAAAATACCGACGACATTCAGTTTGCAAACGATACACTTATGCTTTTTAATGGAGAAAAAAAAACTTTCTTCGTTTAGACTTTCAAAATGACCAAGATAAAAGGATTTTAGTATTTGGAGGAGAAGAATCTCGGTACCTTTTGGAAAATGGAAAGGCTTTTGGAAAATATTCTTAGATGAAAAATTTAAAGGTTGTCCGAAACAATTTGCTCAAATTTATACAATACACGTCGACTTAAGGAGTACAGCAAGTGAGACCAACGTTTATCCAGCGCTTTTTGCATTTCTGCCTGATAAGAGACAAGCAACTTACATTGCAATGTTTCAGGAAGCGAAACACTGGTGCGCTAAGCGGAAGTCGGACATTATAAAATTGAATTTTGAAGCCGCAGTCATCAATAGCTGTATGTTAGAATTTCCCAGATCGACTATTTCCGGTTGTAACTTTCATTTTAATCAATGTTTGTGGCGTAAGATACAAGAAATGGGTCTAGTAAAGAGAACGAAGATACAAGAAATGTCTGTAGAATGATTTCTGCATTAGCTTACTTGCCAATAGAACACATAGATGATGCTTGGAGCATCGTATGGGAAAAAGCTTTTAGCATTGACAAACTTAACACATTCATTGATTATTTTGTCAAGCAGTGGATGACAATCCAAATATGCCCATTAAAGTATGGAATGTATATGGATAGCTCATAGAACAAATAATTCTGTTGAAGGGTGGAATTTCAAATTAAATGCGTCACTGGCTGAAATAGCCTAATGTCCACTTATTAGTTAAAATACTAAAAGAAGAAATATAGAAAGTGTCTTTTAATTTGAAAGCCAGAGAATGAGGCGACCCTAGAGTAAAAAGGAAAAAAGCATATGTAAAATTAGATGAAAGAATTGAAAACATCGTAAAAGAATTCGAAACGTCAAACAGTTTAGAAAAATATCTAAACTCTTTAAGTTTTGTAACTAGGTTGGACTAAATCCAATGGTAAATGATATTTATACCTTTATAATAAAGGTTAGTTAGTATTTATTTTTCTTTTATTTATTTTTCTTTTATTTACTGTTTTGTTTATATTTTTACTTCTAGAATTTATTTATTTTTACTTACATCAATGAAACTAATTAATTTTCTCGGCAAGCTGCACCCGTTCTAATATTTATTTGACTCTAAAATACAGTTTTCCACAAAATCCCTAAAACTTGTTCACATCCTTCATTATACTATTTACTATTGATTTTTAAATATTTCTCTAAAACCTTTTATTTTTATTACATTTCGCTATGTTTAAAATGGGTTCGCACTATAATATCATAACAATTTAAATATAATTAGTTAAATTTGATTGGCAAAAATGTATTTATCCTTGTAATTCGATAATCGAGTGCAAAAACAGAAAACTTCGGTTAAAAAAAAAGTTATCCGTAGTAAAGTAGTAAAGAGATTTGCCACTTAAAATACTGTTTTAAATTATATTTGGGATTTTTAAAAGTATTTATTTATTTATTTATTTGCATCCTTTACCTGTTCCTAAGATGGGGAAAAGATGTGTCCACTCTAACCACGATGAGTTTCGAAGTGTCCGGTCTGACCACGAAATGGTATGTGTCTGATCTGACCACGTCCGCTGTAGCCACACCACCATTTAGAAAGACCACTGAGAATATATTAAAAATAAAAGGATTAATTTAAATATGTAATTACGCAAAAATTCAAATTTGGATCTTTAAAGTCCAATTGAATATTTTATTTACCAACAATTTTCCGTGCAGAGAAAGAAAACTCTCAGATAATTTCGAAGAGGCCTTTTCCCGTGGATGGAGGGCACGCTTAAAATGGCATTATGAGAAATATTCGAAACACCAATTAAAGCAACAATTAAAAAAATATCTATGGAAATATAAAATTTATCGTTAACATACCACGCAATTATAAAAACATATTCGACGTACGTTTGATGTACAAGGCAGTAAATTTTAAAAGTGGTGACATTTTTGAAATTTACTAAAACAGAAACAATGCAAAGAAAAAGTAA